ACACATGACGTCATTGGCTCACAGGCAGACACGCTTTAATTGGCCGAGATGTCACCAACGTACACGCAAGCATTGTTTGCGACTTAGGCTTCGTGATGTGCCGAAGTATTACATGTTTCATAGCTAGATAGGAAGCCTTAACGTCTGTAGGTCGCCATCCTTCGTTTGTGACCATTACTGTCTGGAAGTATCCAATGAATGTCAAATCGGCAAGAAAATCTTACAGCAATAACACTTATCGACTACGATTAAATCTTTTCTACAAGCAATCAGTAACAAATGACTGATAAACGCAGAACTGCAGTGGACACCTTTGAGAAGCCTCGCCCTGATATGAATCCGTTTCAGCCCAAGTCGGTTACTTCATTATCAATTCTGGGAGCTTAAACGGAAATCCCTGCTTTGCAGAATTATTAATTTAGCTTCGTAGTTAGAGGGATCGGAAGCAGACCTCGGTAGCTCATTTAAAAAAAGACGTCGTAGGTGTGTGGAAATTCACAAGCCACTGGCGAGAACCTACGATAACAGCCAGTCGTCAAACTTCCGTCCTATCGCAGCTTACACGGCCAACGCTGACAACGGTCCAGACACGTCATCGTAGTCTTCCGGCTTTTACTGCAGATTAAGTGGGAATATTCTTGATTCAGCAATTTTCAGTATTCAGCGAGAAATGACACAACTCTGCAGGAAAAGTAGCAATAACTGCATTGAAGTGGTGCAACTGACGCAAACCCTTAGTTTTGCAGCAGCAAATGAAACCTTAACTAAAAGCTTAGAGTTCCCACCACCGAAAGGGACAATTCGTTCTGTCACGTATTCGTCGCCAAATGAGGGCAGGGTTCGGGCGGGGTCGATTCCAATCAGAGAAGTGCTGTCCATAACTGGGGGTTACAGCGTCATATGGCCCTACTTCACCTGTCTCGGTCCGTCACCCCATCTGAAACGAATCACTTCACTAGGAGTGAGTCACTTCACCACGAATGGATTCGAAGTGGTCCCCAACCAGACATGCCTTTTACCATTGGAGTGAATAAGCCGGATTGATGGCTACTCAGGAAAACTAGCCAAAGCTCGCTCATCCTCCTGTGATCGATCTGACTCAATTCGATCTACCTTCGATCTGACATCTGATATCTTCTCGCGTGTTCTGATAACTTCAGAACACGGCGAACTTCTCTATGACGCGCTGAAGCCGACCTATGAATGGTCGGCGCGGCGCGGACACCTTGCATACGGCGGGCCGGCTCAATGGCGGCTAATACCGCCGGGGAGCTCTGTTCGGCTCCCGGTCTGCATCCAATGAAGACCGGCCGCGTCTGCCTCATCAGACCCGTCCGCCGCATCAGCAGACGTGCAGCCGATCGGCGCAGCGTGGCTGCTCCCCGGAATCAGACGTCGCGAACGTAGACATGCAGCCGCACCCAGCACTGCCGACCGACCTCGGTAGAGTGGATGGACAGTGGACACTGCCCTAATGCCGCATCGACATCTTAACAGCGCGGCATGCCGGTATAATGACCACTGTCGTACTTGCGTCGGTTTGCAAGCCCGGCATGTAGGTCGTAACATGAGTTATAACAGTTAGTATACGGACACCAATTCTTCCAAACGGCATAATGACATGGAAAGCAGCTATTACGCTGACAGTCAAACATCCGTCAATACCGACAAACATACCCACCAGCAATCATATCAAAAGCCGTATAAATGCTCATTCCAATCCCATTATAATTTGTCACTCTGATCATCCTTTGTACAGAACGTACAGCCGAGGACCCTCGGTGGACATCCTCCGCCCGATCCTACAGTGTCGGTCCTCTGCCATCCGCGGCCCCACCGCATAACCAAAACACTGCCGCCGTCGTCCTCGCTCTACACACAAACACTGCTCGAGAAGAGCGCTGCCTCCCGCTGAAAGACGCGCACGACGATCGGGCCGACGCTCCGCGCTCGCCGCGGTCCGGTGTGTGCTGGAGAGTGAGCCGGCCGCGGCGGCTGGTCAGACAGCGGTCTAACTGGTCAGATAACGGCCAGATAATGGTGCCATTGAAATCTGATGATTAAACCGGTTAAACGTTTGTCGAATTGTGTATGAATAGATGAGCTATTAGTTAATTACCACCAGAAAAAGGCCGTTGACACAAAGGCTTTCAGACATCGAAGAATCTAGTTCAGTTGGTTCAGCTTTGGACCAGCTCGGATCAATAAGTTGCCCAACTGTGGTCAAGCTATAGCCCAGCTGAGGACCATGTGTGGCTCAACTGTGGTCAAACCGGTTGGAGACGACCGGCAATGACCCGGAGGACCGTCGATCGAAGTAGCGTTACACTAGCGTAGCTTCCCTCGGCGGCTCCCCATCATAACCTTCTCCAGGCCAAATATGAGGTCGGGCGGCCCTCCCAGTGATCAGCTCGGCAATATAGCGGATCAGGAGCTGGCCTCACTCGCCGTCGACAGCCCAGAGACGCTGCGGCCAGCCAAAGTTGGCCAATCACGAAGTACGCGATGGGTTGGCGGTCGCTCAGGGGTCGATTCGGGAGGCGATTGGTGTTCCATGTTTGGCTGGGGGCGGCGGGCGGTGACTGGTAGCCGGTGGACGGCGGAAGGTCGGCGCTGGGAGGTCAGAGGCAGCCGAGTGACGCACAGGCTCCGTGGCCTGAACGAGCGACGTCAGTCAGGATGGAGTGAGCGGTGAAAATGTCACAGGGTCGGGGACCAGGACGGGGTAGATGGCGAGGGGTGTGGTCTGGACATTAACAACCCCGGGACAGAGCAGTGGGGGATCCTGACCCCTCCCTGGGACAGAGCAGCGGGGGACCCTGACCTCCCCTCCGGGACAGGGCAGAGGGGATCGTGTGACCCTGACCGCTGCCCCTGGGCGGGACAGTGAAGAGTGTCGCCATAATCATCACTGGAGGACAGATCAGGACCCTGACCGATACCCCAAGAGCCGTGTAACCCTGTCATTGTCCACCCCGAGGCAGATCAGAGAGGGGTGTGACCCTGACCCCCGTCCCTGGGGGACAGAGCGGTGCATGCGCCCGCCGCCGTCCGTCCGGCGTGCCGTCCCATAAATCCGCTGTTCGCGTCCGTCACGCACTGGATTCGTCGCTGCAGATCTATGGTTATGTGGGCCGCGGCCGCCGCTCGGACCGACCGTAACTCGGATATTATCATCAGCCGAGCGGCCATTAGCCGTGGCTCTGAATCAGATTACCTCGTGCGCTCCCAGGAGGCAGCGAGGCCGCCCCGCCGACCGCTGCCGCCAACCGCAGCCGGCTCACTTCAAAGAAACGCTCCCGTTTTGAGAGAGAAATTAATTTCCAGTATGCTTTGGGCATTCGCCAGAGGAGAACTCATCCTGATCACCAGGAAATACTTTGTAGCAATCATTTGCTCCCATAAAGAAATGTTTCTAATGTCACGTTGGCTCACGTCAGCAAACAAATCGAGTTCATTATAGGTGATAAGCACAATGCACATATCAAAATACACATGCAAATAATGGAACAGCTATAGTAGGAATGTCTAATTGAGGAAAAATGGATTGAACAAATCATTTACTATATGTAGATACTCAATTGCCTTCAGATTTGTACATTTTTTGACACCCTAATGCACATCTAAACCAAGACAATGGTTGAATAAGACATTGAACATCCCATCAAACGAGTGGATCAAGTCGGCGTAATCAGCTGCGCACTCGGTTATCACCGGCCGCCTGGTGCCGACTGCTAACCCGGTTTGGCAGCTGGCACCGACCGCACCGCCATCGGCTGCTCAGTGATTCCAGACGATCCACTCAATCAGACCCAGCCCGGTGACACGACACCGATTGATTAGGCATTGATTGAAGACTGCCCGAGACTCATTCAGTCGTCCAACGGCGTCAATAGACTCATCTGACGCCAGACGTAACTACAGCGACACTGAGACAAAAATGGAGTCAGAAGAAAAGAACGATGGCAAGGCTTCAACACCATCCTCATCGATTCTCAACGCATTTCAAGTAAAACAATGTCTAGTAACGTTTGCCATGGATTCCTTCCCTTTGCTGCAGTCATAACAATTTACATAGGCAATTTGTATATTTAGGAAATCTACCTAAAAACATAGTTCTAACGAACGACCGTAGCCTGGAAGCACATTTGAACTCCTGCCCGGCGACACCGGCGACTGCGCCGGGCTGACCCTGACCCGGAGCCCACTGGAGGTGTCGGGCGCGCCGCCAGCGGTGCAGCGGAGACTCCAGTGCTCCCTCGTCCGCCGACCGGCACGTAGCGGCCCAGCGCGGGTCGACGGCGGCCCCAGCCAGATGTGGTCACCCGTCCCCTCCCCCGACCCGACCCGGCCCTAACTCAGCCCGAGCCAGCCCGACCGGAAATGGCTCCGCTGCTGCCTGGCAGGGGGCTCGGGCGAAACATTTTCACAGCTGGCCAGTGGCTCTGACTCTACGCTTGTTTGCTGGGCGTATTCTCGGTCATTTTTTACGTGTATAATAGCTTGTGGTCGCTGTGATATGGAACGTCGTTATCATGGAGAAAAGTTCAGGAATACGCACGGATAACAAATACACTGTAGCATCACCCGGTATGTGATAATTTGCCAGGTGCCTCATCGAGTGAATAATGAATAGGGCAGTATGGAGCGGGTGACCATGACTTCCGCGGAGCAGACCTTCCTCATACCACTTCCCATAACCAAGACACTAATTAAACTAATAATAGAATCTTCTGGCACTGTCGTCTAGCAGCTCACGCCAGCTCAAGAAACAGCTCCGACGAGGTCACTCAGCCCCATCTAGTGAGCTTCGAGAAACTACAGCCAGCGGCAGAGGCCGCTCCATCTCGATGGCGCTGACAGGCCACCGGACATACACTGCCGTGTGTAAGTACGGCCGCTGTATGTTGCACATCAACACCAACTGAGGCGACACGAGTGCACACTGCACAGCACCGCACAACACACACCGGTCGGCGTCTGCAGCCGTCGGTACTCACCACCTTGCCGACCTGGGCCACCTTGTTCTTAGCGTTCAGATGCTCAAACTTGTGCTTGCCGGAGCCTTCTGGGTCCTGAATCAGAGAAGGTGTCTCAGCGGCTGCAGGCTGGTGCCGGTGGCGGCCGGCCCGCCCGCCCGCCAACGGGCCGCTCATTCAGGTGAGGGGTCAGAGCGCAATCGGTGCGGCCGGTCCGGGACCAGCGGGCGGGGTGGGGGAGGGCACTGCCTGGTGAGGGGCGGCACGGGCGGCGGCCGCCCGGCGCGCGCGCATGCCATTCGTGAGAGGGCCAGAGCGCAGATTGGCAGGTGATCGGGTGATGCGGCGGCCGGGACATCGGAGAAAGAAAGAGAGAGAGAGAGCACCCGGACAGTCCGGCAGTCATGGCATGGCGACCCGCCCCAGCAAACGGAACGCATCGCACTCAGGCACTCAGTCATCAGGTTATACCGGGCGCGGTCGGCGGCGGCCGCATACCTCAGAGTGACGGTGGACTAACACTAATGTCAGAAGCAAACTAGAAGCTGGCAGCTGGCTGGCCTCTTTTCCTTTCCAAGCACATTTTACTGTGGCTGCTAAGTGCAAAATTGCCAGCATGAGCCTCAGTCTTTGACCCACCTTTGAGGTGACACTGCTGCCATCTTTGGGTACTCTGAAAAACTGAACTGCAGTTTCATACCTCGCTCACAGCTCCGACTTAGCTGAAAACCAGCTGTTTGCCACATGGAAGACTGTTAAAGACTACCATATTGCACTTACGGTAGAGCTAACGGTTTCAAAATCATCACAGGGATCCTAGATTATACGTTAGTGTCAAGATCATCAACCCAACCGCAAGTCAGCAGGTGCTTCTCAGGTGTGTTCTGACACAGGAAGCCTCCGCTCACCTTGAGTTTCGACTCTGTCATGTTGCTGAAAGAAGACGACTTCTTGTGCTGGAAGAGGGTGCGGTAGCGACTGAGATCCGACTCGGACGACGCAGACGCGTGCTGACCCTGTACGTGGTTCCGGGTGGCTGCGAAACAGACGTGCACGCCATCAGAATGTCTCTGCGCAGGGTCAAGGGATACAAAAGGTCGGTCAGAAGCGACTCACATCGATGGGCGACAAAGACACTGGATCCAACAATTCGGGCGTTTGGTAGGAAACAGTCAATGTTCAGTGGCAGGATCGGAGAACAAGGACCAGAAGTTGACTGGTGACGGGAGTTAACCAATATGTGGCCCACATCCAAACTAACTAGATGTATTGGAAGCATCGTTGGACAACGAGACAAATAGTTAGCCTCAAGTTTGATGTTAAACGAGGTCGTATGAAAATGAAACGGCTCCAGTTGAAGAAATGGAGCTGAAAACACAAAGTGCTTAAATGGACTTCTTCCCTTACGACACAAGATAGCTTGGGAGTAAGAGCGAAGCATAGATAATAGAAATAGTAGCACGATTTCAGAAGACACGTCTTTGTCAAAATATCCAACACTAGAATTGTGTACTACTTACTACATATAGGTTCTTTTTTACTCACTACCTAGGTATCTTATGCACCCTTTCCTCTATCTCTAATGTATCTTGAGCATGCCGTGTGGCTAAATTGTGGTTTTTGAGTGTGTATTCGCCACGCATGTACCGATTATCCAACCAATAGCATCATTCCTGTCTGAGAGGCTAAACCCGAAAGAATGAAAGTCTCAAAGCACTGTACACTTCTAAGCTGCCTATTCAAGCACATACGAAATACATCTTGGCAGTTGGCTATGTTACAGCAACGGCGAGAGTCGTTCTGCCGTCTGACGTAAGCTGTTTAACAGTTGATATAGTTCAGCTTGATGCGTGTGTAGTATGCTACAGGTACACGCTTAGAGGTTAGTGCCACCCATAGGGTATTTGACAAATACTCAAGGTCAGAAAAGGGATCAAGGGAAAAACGCTGCAAAATGAAGAAGCATAGGCCGGTTTGAGATTTAAACTGTTATACCGCGGCTAAATTACGTGATAAAGACACAAAAGCAATGGTTCATTAAAGATCAATTGGTTAACTTTTCTAGCTTCCCTAACGCTTTCTGTCGCTATAGAGCCCAAATGCTTAGAGATCATCTCTAGAAATCACCAAAGGGATCACTCTGGTGCGGCCCGGGTGCAGGATGCGGACTGGCGGCGGTGCCGTGCCGAGGTGCGCGGTGGGCAGCCAGCGTCCTCTATACCGGCTCGGACGGCCGCCCCCGGCCGCTCCGGGTGCCAGGGGTGATCGCTAGTGCATTGTGCGGCCAACTGGGCCCGTGGCGGTGACCCAGTGCAGGTGATAACGGCTCTGTCTCGGTGCTGACGCGTGTCCAACACAAACAGTCACCGTGCCGGGCGGCCGGCGGGTCAGCCGGTGTCACCGGCCGCGCGGCCGCCAGCACTGCCGGGCCGGCCCGGCGGGCACCGGCCGGACAGGGTAAAATGTGGGCGAACTGGCTGGCTATGGCACAAACAATAATCGACCACGAGGCGTCTCTGAGATTTTTAGCTTCCCAATGAATATAAATGACATCAACCAAATATTGGTGGCAAATCGTTGCTACGTATAGTAAGTAGCCACTTACCTAAATCTAGACGTTTTCTAATTAGTGATAGACCAACTGTGGACAGTTTGTTAAGTTCCATCTGATGTCAAGTTAAATACAGCTACTGTCCAACTGGGGATTGGTGAAACACAGCGATTCTCAATGTTATTACTGTCCCATTCGGCCATAAATCACGGACCAGCTGCGGCGAAAACTGCTGCTAAAAGTCAGTGGCTGCCAAAATCAGTGGCTGCTGGCCACCAAAGTGCTAAGAAGCGTGCCTGTGTAGAACGTCCGCGTCCCTTCCGGGCAGGCCACGAAGCAGCTGCTTTCTACGGCTACGTCAGTAGCATGCGTGTCACAGTTACCTTGGCAGAAATTATCAACGGTATGCGAGCGAGGCCGCTGCTCCTCGGACTCTAACTCAGAAGGGTACACTGAAACAGCGACCGGAACGGGGTGCAAGATCTCAGCACACACACACACTCCAGCCAGCTCTCTGTCAGAAGGGCACAGCACAACCGCGGCCAACGCTGCACCCTCATCAATCCGGCTCAGAGAACAGAGGTAAACAGCTTACGTTAGATCAAACACACTGAGCAGGCCAGTCTCTGAGTTCGACTGCAGTGAAACACTCGGTGATAATGCGGGGTCAAAGGGAACATTTACAGCATCAGGGTACAACAGTGAACAGTCAGCCAACAACATCAACAGTAGCCAGCAGCGACCAGAGGGTGGCGGTTGAGGGCAGCTCGCTACAATTCCGTACTACATAAATGGATCTAAAACAGAAGACACGTAAAACCTATACATAAATTACATAGGCGGACTGAAGCGAAGTACGACTATTTACTTAATAAGAAAAAAAGTTAAAAAGAAAATGCGTGTCAGCGGCGTAAAAACAAATTTCAACAGATCAATCTTCAATTGCTAAATAACAAAAAAAAAAACTGAAAATACTCAGTTTCTGCTGTACCTACACGAAAAGGGAGGACGTGCAGCAATGTAAAATAAATGTATAGAGGTTCGCTTTTTATTATAAGCGTATGCATTGTATAACAATGAATAGGCTTGACTATCAAAACGTCGAACGATGTTTATGGTAACTTCATAGAAGCGTCTATGCCAGCTCGTCTTACAAACACCCTCACCTGTTTCTAAACAGGGTGACACAGACACCGATAGCAGGACAACACGACCCGGGTTAGTGATGACTGAGAAGTAATCTTATCCCCCTGGACATGTATTGCAACAATCTCCATGCACAGCATTCGAGGAGGAATAACATCCGCGGAGATTAGCATTGACGGTGAAATCACTTGGTTGAGCCTAAAAGTGAAGCCATTCATAAGAAAAAATGAACGAGGAAAAGAAAATATGTACAGAGCTGTTTGGACATTTGTTTCCTAAGATAGTTGCAAGTGCGCATTAACAAGTCAGCTAAATTTCAATGTTGATCTAATCTGGCTGGTATGGAACAAACCAACAAACCATATAGTGTAGCAAAAGTTTGAATCCCCCACATTGTCAATACCCACGAAGGGCGTCTTACCGGTGCCGATGGTGGCACTTCTGCTCGGCGGCTGGCGCTGTCCCACCCGGCGCAGCGAGATGGGGTCCAGGGAGGAGGCGGGCCGCAGGGGCGTCAGAGGACCAGCGGCAGAGCCGCTGGTCAGCGGCTGGCCCGGAACACCCTGACGAATACAGGTGGAGGGCTGGTTATGCTGGTATCGTTCTCAGGTGATTTTACGGTAAATGTTTAACATTGTTCGTATCACCCTGAACATACATACCACAAACACGTTTAAAAGGGTGGGGTGGGGGGATTCGCATAGTTATATACAGACATGTTTCATCTACCGATAATGCCCAATGCATTATGAAACCTGTAGCATATCACATGGCAAGTTCCCGACATTAAATAACGATCCAACAAAGGTTTTATCAAAATAATTAATTGCAAGCAGTTGTTAATCATTTAGCAGAAATGTGCGGTAATTCAAATTTGATCCACATGGTTTAATTTATTCCTGTATTAGACCTTTAATGAATTCAAATTAGCCCACACGCACAACGGTGGGTTTAGCGGCGCCCTCGCACCGCCTTTGTTCACCCAGTTTTACTAACCGCCTCGCAGAGCCGCTGACTGCTGAGGCGCGCGGTAGACACGTCCGACGGCTCGTCCAGCTTGGCCCGCAGGTCGGGCGCGCTGTCCGAGGCAGGGGTCAGTGGCCTCAGTCGGGTCAGGTCAGAGGTCGGGGCGGCCAGTCCGTCCGGCGGCTCCGGCGGCTCCGGCGGTTCCGACTGCGGAGCCTGTGTCGGCTCCCTGGCGGCAGAGGGAACGGGTCAGAAAGAGCTTTAAATGTTGAGGTAAAAGAAAATCACATTTACATTTTAGTTGAACGGTTGCATTGCACGTTAGAGCACATAGCACACAACACATAAATCGCGACATTTTCTAGAACTATACCATAACATCTTGCGATCACCCCCAGACAACCAATGTGCACCTCGAGCTCACCTATAACATTCCTCGTCACAGTCACCCCCCCCCCCCCCCACCCCCTCCCGCCCTTTCAAGACTGACCTCGGACCACACCCAGAGACCTCACTCACTGAGCGTTCGGCGAGTCATCTACGGACGTCTCGGCCCTCCCGAGGGCCTCGGCTTCCTCCTCAGCAGCCTCAGTGGCCTCCGGGGTCGGGGTCAAGGTCGAGGCGCTGCCCTGACGACCGCGCAGCACGCCCACCGCCCTGCCGCGGCCCTTCCGAAACGAGCGGATGCTCTGGCGGAACGACTGTCGCGCCTTGCCGACTGGGGAAGAAGAGAGAAGGGGGTCAGCGGGGGTTAATGTTTGGCCTGCCTGTCACCAAAGCTAACTCGGCCGGACACCAGCATCTCCTACAGCAGGAGACTAGCATCTCCTCGAGGAGACCACCATCTCCCCAACAAAGGACATATTTGCCGCTCACCTCGATCGCTTTGTTTACGCTCGGAATAAGTGGACTTCATCTTCGGCCTTCGGTCGACAATCCGGAGTCATTTGTGTCCCTCTACACCATTTTCGATGCATTTTAAGACAAATGAAGTCCAATTTAAAACAGTTGATTTCTGAATTAAAACAATTGACAGGCGGGTTAAAACACGTGACATTCAGCTTAAAACAACTGACACGCGATTTAAAATAAATGAAAAGCAAATTAATATAAATGACATGCAATTCAATCATACAAATATAGGTACGTAAAGCTATGCTGAATAATTATGTTTTACTGCAAATGAACAAAAATGTTGTGCTCGACTACATGATTATTTGTAGGGAGAAAATTGAAAGACGCCTCTTTTGGACGAAAGTCATTCTAAACACTTTCAAACACCGAGTTACAATTTACAAGTAACGTTGACAGTTGACCCAATGAACATAAAAATACATAGCACCCGTGACCCCTGTTTATGCCCATGAGGTCATGTCAGGTCACGAAGGGTATCTAGCAGGTTTTAGCAAATAACTTTGGATAGAGGCATGTTAGAGTCATGAAAACGCCTTAGATTTGTAAGCTCCACCATACGAATCGGCTGATACGCAACATGACCCTTTCCGGTCAAGTCAAGACCTTGGCCTGAGGTCATTTTTTTCAATTTGACGTTTCAAGGTCAACTTATAGTTCATTCGATGCGTCTTGACGAGAGGAACACGATGCAGGTAAAGTTTAGCTCGTGCAAAGCTTGAGTCAAAAGTAAGTGCAAAAAAAAACCGCCAAAATCGTCCATTTTGGCAGTTTTTGCCACATGCAGGCTAGAACGTTGACGTTAGATCAAATATGGGAAAAATATTCAGAGAGAGCGTTAAGTGGGCTATCAAATGCGCCTTTCCTCGGTGCCGTAGCTCTCTTGGTTCCCGAGTTATGTGTCGGCTTCTAAAAATTGTTGACATTTGGCCTGAAAATCTGCAACATTTGGCCTTCAATGACCTCTGGTGACCTGACTGACCTTTGAGCAAAAAGTGACTGAAGTAGTTCCGTCATTTTGTTTTGTCGCTCTCTCGCACACTGCCTTCCGCGTATCGCTACGTGGCCCAGGAGCCGAGTTACAAGGGGAAGGGTGTTCAAACACCCCCCCTCCCCAGCAGGGCGTGGAAATCCAGGACCCCCAGCGGGACGCGGGTTAAGACGGAGAAGGACAGTGAAGTGTAGGATTCAATGTCATCGTATGGAAGCTCTAACGCCAATCAGTCATTTTGAATTTTTAATCCAATGAAGCATATGTTAAAGTTCTACGAACTGTCACAATTGCAAATATGTAGTCGAACACTTTGTTTATTTTATTTGCACCAAAACGTAATTATTCAACATAGCTTTAAGAACTATAATTGTATGATTAAATTGCATGTCATTTATATTAATTTGCTTGTCATTTATTTTAAATAGCATGTCAGATGTTTTAAGCTGAATGTCACGTGTTTTAACCCGCCTGTCAATTGTTTTATTTCAGAAATCAACTGTTTTAAATCGGACTTCATTTGTCTTAAAATGCATCGAAAATGGTGTAGTAGTACTTCTTTGCATCATTTTAAGGATCTCATTTTCAACTTGCAAAACACGTTATTCTGGTTCAAAGGATACTTTGATAAGCTGTAATCGGCTATGAAACTTTTGCTAGCGCCTCATTGGATCTATAGTACTGTATGCCATGTGTGTCACCGGCAATGAGTTAGGAAAGTTTGTTGGGCTGGTTTGCTAGTTTGTAGAGCTCCAAAGCTAGCTATGTTATGTGCGCTTCGGTAGATCAGACTTGTTATATCTAACACTCTCCTGTCATGGATGATAATTATTGAGCACAAAACACCTGTTCAAACACAAAACTCGTATTTAAAATGCTTAAGTGTTTGCATAAGCTACCTACTCGTATACTCGTAAAGTAGCAGCTAGACATATATAAAAATCATCATATCCTATCCATTCCGTAAAAAAAAACAATCCAGCTATATCCTGTTGATTCTAAAGCTCCTCAGTCCACAGTTCCTCACGTTTGTTTTTGAAACACGGAAGTACTGCCCGGCTAATTCATTAGAGACCGTCTGCATTACACCACTAGCCTTTACAGCTCTGCTGCGTGAAGGTGCGTGCCATTGCGTGTCTGTTCAACGCGATGGAATGCACGCTGTTTTAGGTCCTGTGTATCCGTACAGGGGGACTGACGTGGACAGGTTATCGCTCACCACCGTTCTCGTCCGACTGTATACTTCAATGATGCGTCTGTCGAGGTGTGACTGGCACGTGCCGCGCGGAACATATGATGGCCGCCAGCACAAATCACCCCGCACTGCGGGGGGGGGGGGGGGATAACCACCAGGGGCCCGGCCCGTACGCGGCCGACCCAGCTACCGGACTGGCGGAACATGATCTGATTTATGTGACGCCCGACGAAGATAAGAGCCACGCTCGCATAGGCTCTCCAGAGCTGGCCAAAAGGTCACATTTAATAAATGGGCCCTATAACCCGAGATACCACAAGGAGTACTATCTGGTGTAATGTTGATAATTACATTAATGTAATACGATCAGAGTAATTTGCGTTGATGATGAAGCATGGCCCATATATGTCCGCATGTATGCAACTAACATATTAAAGGATATTAACTGTTCCCTACGTCGAATTGGTAGTAAAGAGGCAAATGAAACTGTTTTTTTAGTTTCCATTTATTTATTCAAAATTACTTATCTACAGCAGAGGACAGCATAAAAAATCTAGATTTGTTACTTTCAATCCTCTGATGATTTGGCAGAAATGCGCATTACGTTTGTAGGAATTAAAACATATTTCATTTAAAATACCTTCAAAAGATTAGTTTCTATTCAATTCATGCGTTATGCCATCTCGGGATTTCTGGTGCTCCAATCATATATTGGAATACGCATTTACATAACCCATATTTTTTAAATTGACCCGGATTTGGCTTAAAGAGTGAGGATGTTATCAGCACCAATCGCTCACTTGCTACCGTCTCTTGAAGTCGACAGGGCGCTTGGAATTGGCCTCCATCACTCTAACCTCTGACTTCTGGACGAAGCGCACATTGCAATGTTCCGTGGAATGTCTTGAATGACTTGCCTGATAACATCTAAATTCAACTTCGAGTTCCGCAATAATAGGTTTGATTACCCCGTCCCCACTCATGGCCCAGCTTTCCAGGAAACTTTGTTTGGAACGAATTACCTGTAAGGAATTGCTTGCATCCTCTATACCAGATTTCTGTTACACAAATACCGTTAACCCGCGCCCCGCTGGGGGGGGGGGCTATTTATAGCACCCCCTCCCGTTTTTCTGCAATAACTTCCAAACCGCTTGACGTATCGACGCCAAAATTTCAGTACCTTCGGCTGCATCAATTTGACACCTTGTGTCAAAATTTGAATTTCGTAACTACCATAGGTCGGCCGGAAATGACGTCAGAGTGACGTCATGTTCGGCCGATTTCGACGCAAAACATTGAACCACGGCAATCGCTCCCAAGAGCTCAGTTTTTAAGCTAGATCCAATTTCTTTGCATGAGAGGACTCAGAATAGACTGCGCTATCAAACTGCTATCTCGGATTTTCGAAATTTTGAAAATTTCGAAAATGTGATATAATAAAATTCAAAATTTATACTTTTACATTTTTTTAGAATTATTTTGACTTTTCGAAAAAAAAACCGAATATATGTGATAGAACGCATTAATATGACTAACTCTAGCAAGTTTTAGCTAAATATCTTCAAAAATCGCCAAGTTATACGCATTATTGCAAAAAAATTAACAATTATTAATTTTTCAAACCAATTTTCAGCACGCATTTGACATCGTACGGCAATATAAATAGCACCATCGTGTTCCTGAGCTCAAACTGCATCCAATAGACACCTTTTTTGTTGAAAAATTTTAACTTCAAAATTTGACCTTTTTGACCTGAAAGTGACCTGACCTAAGCTAAATTTGACTCAAAATGACCTCGAATGACACAGACGACATCAAATTCGAAATTTTGGGCCTAAATGGACCATAAAACATGTATCACGTGACCGACGGATGATATAATATTTTCGTGACCTGTGATGACCTGACCTTGACCTGAAAATCAAAGTACAAGTTTGGTACCCTCAGAGTATCTAGAGCATCTGTTCACGAGTGTGTGAACCAAAAATGAGCCTGATCTGACTTGTAACACGGCGGCCAGAGCCCAAAACGTGAAGAAGCTAAAATGCTAATAATTTTTACTTTGACCTGACCTGTGACGTCATCGGTGACCTCGAGGTCAATGAAATTAGGTTTCGTTCGACAGTTTTTCCGGGGCTATCAGACGCCGTTTGAATTTTGACGATCGGCCCAGTAGTTTCGGAGTTAGGAGGGGGGGGGGCTATGAATAGTTCCCCCCCCCCCCCCCAGTAGGGCGTGTTATACGCAGACCCCAGTGGGGCGCGGGTTAACAAACCCCATCAGTTCATATCTAACCCCTTACATAAGCAATCTTACTACTCACATTTGGTCAGCAGCTGAGAGAACTCCTTGTCATCGTCATCTTCCTCTTGGGGCGAGGAGAGGTCATCAAAGTTGAGCAGGAACATTAGCAAGTCGCCAGCCTCGTTTGAGATTGGCGCCACCGTTTGGACGCAGAGAAAACGAGTGCCTGAAACCAAACATGATAAGTCAATTCGTATTCATATGCAGTCACATCGCAAGACTTCGATCTCCCATTCCCCGCAGAGCTGTAAGAAATAAAAAAAGATTAAAATGGCCATGTTTAGGCACATGCATGCTTAACCACTATGTTTCTTTGAGCGAACAAATATGTACACTTCATCTCACACAAATTATAGCACATGATCAATAATTTCGAAGCCTAACGTTTCCTTTACGTCTGAAATCATACTCAGTTCCACATTTGTACCTGCAACCAGGTTATCGGAAAGGGCAACTTTCACGTGCGACTGCAGCGCACGCATATCAGACCGACGTAATCTCAACCGACGCTGTCAAATCACAGCAGCTGAGCATCACAAACACCTGGTCGAAATATCGGTATCGTTTGCGTGTTCAGTATGTGGCCCAGCTGCGGAAACTCGACATGCCTGTATCATCAGTGAAGATACCAACGGTCCCCAGCTGTATGGGGAGACCCGCCCCCTTCCGTCCCCAGCCTTGCTGCTATCGCGTACAGGTGTCCGGAGTCATCTACCTTCATGTTATCATGTTCTATGTAGCGTGATAGTGACGTGTTCATGTTTCATGTTAATCATGTTCTAGTGACACTGCTCAATTAAGAGCTCAGTGACAACGCTAAAAGCAGGCGAGATGGCTGCAGGAATGTGGGTATGGGGACTGGGGAGCCCTATCGTCCGTGCAATGCAGTATAGGAATGGAACTTTTGTCAGATTACTTCCCGAGTATTTTCTTCCAAGATGGTACACTTATACGACTAATTGATGCATGATTTGCGTATCATATGAGATAAAATCACCGACCATGAACAATTTCTCATGTTATGCCCCAAGGACACAGCAAAGCCGCAGCACATTAATAACATGATCATTACCACGAACATGATCATCATCAGGCCTCAACATACTTCTGCTGGCCGGTGTAATAACCCTGGTCATTAGTAACGCCCGTCCATTACCCCTCTCCGCGATACCGACCAGCCTACTGATCATCTCCCGTCCCTATCCGCTCATCAATATTAGTTACACACTGCCGGCACGCATCATATACTGCGTCTACTCGCCCTAACCACCGCCGGACAACGTAATCAATTGACAGTTCGCCCTTCCTTCAACTATACGTCACCTTCTCGATTCCGGCGCAGGCGTCATGAGTTCTTTGAACTTAATTAAAGACATTATAGTCAGTCCGACAGTCAACCCCAGTGCAGGCGTAAAGTCTGACAGTCAAACTTCAATGAAGGCGTCAATCTGGCCACTGGATTTGCAGGAATGGGTCATGTTTGCCAACCCATTCCACCGCATCACTTGGAAAATAAGAGGCTATGTGGTTCTTTAATTAAAATATAAAGAAAGCGTAAGTTGTAGGGACATCGAGAAACATAAGTATAGGCAACGCTGCACTGGGATATTTGGTGTCATGTTTGGTTGACTATCTGTACCTATAGGTGGTCCCTTTTCGCGACTTTTGTTTGACATGCGAGACAGGCCTGAGAGGTGGAATCGCGTTTGGCATTCGAGTTTCCTCATTGGTCGTATTTATGCATGTCATGTTAGTCACAGAGTTAGGCGCGTCCCGTCCAGGATCCGAATGATATATTTAGGGAGGATTATGTAAGTGTAGCAAAGAAAAAAAACAAGTTTAGTTGTCAGGTGAGTACCTAATACATACATGGAGAAATTATCACACAACAGGTCGAGCCTCATTTCAGGAATCAACTGGGATAGGCATGTTGTTTTGAAGATGTACTAAATGTACTAGTCTTTAGTGTGGTACTAGTAATTACGGGTGGTGTCTGATGTGTTCTATAAAGCAATTCGCTTACGTCTAGCCACATACTTTTCTATATGTATAATCTGTAGTCTATAGCATATTGCAGGCATGCGCCACATAAGCTTTGGAAAGCAGGCAAAAACAGTTCCGGATATCATAAAGCACGACGTAGTAATGCTGTTAAGCCCATGGATGCACTGGACGGCCATTTACTGATCGTTGCCTGACGGAAGCAGAAATGATAACTTTGTTTTGAAGGAAAGCAGCCGGCCATTCTGACGTTGATCGATTGTTCGTGATAACGGCGAGAACGAAATCCACTATAGCAGCCCTGAAATCTAGACGAACACTGGAGTTCCAGTCACAGAAAATGGCTGTCTATAACTTCAGAGACTACGCTCTCAGGAGCATGATGAAACAATCGTGATGCACCAATTTATCAAACAGATGCGCCTTCCAATGAAGGATTCCAATGGAAAAAAGAAAATGTCATAAAAGGCAATAAAGTAGCAGCTGTGATGCTGGTAGCGATACTGAAAATAACACTGCTGTTGAAATTAATAAAGCTGGAAAAACTTGATTTGTTAAACTTAACTGGATATTTCTTGGACGATTTATTGGCAAGCCACATCAATCAACTCAATTCTTCTCTAACTAACGGTGACGCAGCTGATTGCTGGTCACCAGCCCCTTAGCCCCTTTACTCTGGCACTGAAGAGACCTGGCGTTTCACCGCATACAGAGAGATGAGAGACATCGACCTATTCCCTTACTAAATACCGTCCAGCGCAGCCCGCCTTCATCCAACTCCGTGCCCCCGTCCCCACCGTCCAGCGCCGGTGACCCAGCGTGACACGTGACACGTGACCCGTGCCCCTGCCGGCTGCGTTATGAATACATTATTCATGCCGGGCGATGGGCGCAGCGAACAGCAGCCGCCCCATCCGGGCGCAGTTAGTCGACTCGTGATCGGTCGCCGCCGGCCGGAGCGCGGCCAACTGGGCCGCACCGGCCGGCCCGCCCCCGAATAGGAATGACCGCGCCGAGTGGCCGAGTGTTTGGGAAATGGCCCGGAAGCGTTAGGCAAATATAGCGGCAATAAGCGAGTGCGTTTGGCACGCACACCGCCGCAGCGCTGTCGAGGACGCTGGGAATGGAGATGGAACGCAGAAAATGCACCACAAATGGCGAAACGTCTTATATGCTATCCAAGACAGACAAAAAACAATATCAGATGAATGAAATATTGCCCGAACGAATGACTATAATGAAATCTTACTATGCGAAAGATGTCAATTTTTACTGTGCGAATTTCCCAAGCATTTGAGCAATTTGTAGCTAGAAGTCGTAAAAAGTAGAGCACTAAAGACACTTCCAGAACAAACGTGAATGATAAATGGGAGATGTGAGTCATAGAGGATTCTTCATGGCTCCGAGTGGAAGATAAGGATATATTTTCCAAGCGGGTTACTGAAAAACCGAGCGACGAAGGAGTGAGGTTTTTCTGTAACACGCGAGGAAAAGATATCCGATCTTCCACGAGTGAGCCATGAGGAATCCTATATCTTTCTATGTTGAGGTTTATTCTTAATCAATTAAATATTATATTTAAATGTATTCATCTCTATAACAATATATTTACAGTAGTTTGTTTTTATTTCATAAGTTTCATACATAAACAACGCATTAAAATGTCGTTCGGTTATTGACCCATCATCACTTGAACTCTTGATTTTTGGCTATGAACCCTCCAGAACTTATCTTTGCATCTCAGAGGGATGCAAAGATAACAAATTCTTATCTTTGCATTCCAGAGCAGTGCAAGATAGAAATATCCCTGCACTGTAGACCCAATGGCAAATAAACCTCAACTAGAAAGATATATTTATTCTGTTCAATATCCAACAGCGCATTCGAACTTCCTTCAGCTGATCCTGTAGAATCAATGATGATGCAGGTCTTTTTCGAAAGTGGGTCTTTCAGGCTGTGACTAAGATTGGGTTTGATTGATACGGACCCTCTCCTGCTAAAGCAGGTCTTCAGTGACAGTAAATCATGATGCGCATGCCGAGCAGAGCTAAGCAATGACAGGGTTGTAATTCCCAAGTCGTTAATGTCTACTTAGATGGGGAAAGAATAGGAAAAGTATGATGAGTTACACACAGATACGTGTATGCATGCAGAAAGTTATGGCTTCAAAACAAATGCAACACAGCTAAGATATCATAAAACAATCATGCATTACATGATTAATAATGGAGTGCGTGGGGCATTATTTCTATTACCCAGAAAACATTAGCGACACATAATTCATTAAGGAAAAATATCGATTAATGATATCGTAACACACCATGGGACGGAAATATTATGCTCAAGTGACAGAATTACTCAAGAAAAACCATTTATTTTGACGAAATTGTGCCTGTTAGTGCAAGTCACGTTTGCGCCGGGCCGATGTATGTAGGTCAGGGGACCGAACAGCGAGCGCCCGCTGCACGACTCAGGGGACAGAACAGCGAGCGCCCGCTGCACGACCAGTGGGTCGGCGATTAACTGCGTCACGACCGGCTAATCCACGGATCGATCGAGTTTCGGCCGGCCACCCCGGCACCAGTGCCGCCGAGGATCGTCGCTGCGCAAATACGGCGACCTCGTGGGGAGGGACCGGCACTGTGGGTTCAGCCGGTGGTGGCTTGAACTATGTTGGTTTTGGTTTATGCTGGTGCATTAGGGGCTGGTTCAGTCTGTGTCGGTTCATTAAGTGATGGTTCGGGTGGTGTTGATTCTGTTGGTGCTTATTTAATCTGTGTTTGCTCAGAACCGGATCATCTTTAGTTGGTGCTGTTTTAGAAGTAGTTCGTTTAGCCGGTACCGGCTCAGTCACTATCAGTTCACTCACTATATAGATTGATTAATCGGCGTTTGTTCGGCCACTATATTGGTTCACCCACTATATTGATTTACACGTAGTCTGTGTTGGTTTGGCCGCTATTAGTTCATCCACGGTATTGATTTAGCCGGTGTTGGTTCGGCCGGTGACTGCCGTCCTCATGTGGACACGGAGTGACAGCTCACATTCGACGTCACCCCACGCAATTCATCGACCGTACACCATACTAGCGCTCGGCCACCGCCCCCACCTCGCCGTGTAGGTGACCAGTTGCCAGAGCCGGCGCACAACGAAACGTCACACAC